CATAGAACAACTGTTATTATCAGTATGCATTATCATTATTATTATCATTATTATTATTATTACCATCTTTTTATCAGTATAGGAATGTATGTTTCATGTCCCATTAACTAGCATCCTTAAAAAGGTTCACTCATACTAACTCCACCCTTTATATTGTGATTACCATTGTTGCAGTGTATGTTATATTCATGGCGCCTTTCTGAAATAAACTCCAATATATTTCTCCCTATGGAAGGCTTATGGTTTATGAACGGCCGAGAGTACACCCTGAAGAGCTATGTTGCCGCTGAATAACAGGGTGTTATTTATGAGCACGTCCACAGAACAGAGTGGTGGGCAGCATAGACTCCCCACTATATATAAATATGTGTGTGTGGCAGTGTGGTTATGTGTTTGTCATGTTGTTGTTGTGTGTGCCATTATGTGCGTGTGTATGGTTGCGTGTTTGTGTCATTGTGTGTGTGTATTCATGTGTGTGTGATAATGTGTGTGTGTGTTTATGTGCGTGTGTGATAATGTGTGTGTGTGTTTGTGTGTCACTATGTTAGTGTGTGTTTTTGTGTGTCATTGTGCGTGTGTGTGCGGTTGCGTGTGAGTCAGTGCGTATATGTGTGCGCGGTTTGTGTGTGTCAGTGTATGTGTGTGTTTGTAGATAGATCGTGGACGTAAATAATCAATCTGTTGACTCATATTCCTCTGCTGTTACTATTCATACTTCATTCAACTACCTTTGCTCTTTGTATCCAAATGGGCTCCTCGAGAAAAATAAATAATACAGTAAGAAAGAGGAGAGAGCACGAGAAAATAAAAAGATCGAGGGAGAGACAGAGACAAACAGACAAGCGGAGAAACAGAGAGACAAAGGTGAGTAAACAAGAGAGAGAAATATGTATATATATATATATATATATATATATATATATATATATATATATATATATATATATATATAAACAAAAAACAAAGATAAACAGGGCCAGAAACAAATAGATAGAAAAAACGAATTAAACCCAAGCCCCCCCCCCCAACTAAAAAAAAGAGCAATAACAATAACAATGACAATAAAACAATAATAACCACACCAAGTATAGAGTCATTCCCCTTCCCCCATTTACACCAGAAGTCCCCCCCCCTCCCCCACACACCCTCCCCCCCCACCCTAAAAAAAGGTAATCACACCCTTTCTGAGCCATAAAGGAGTCGATTCAACGAGCAAAGTAGCTTGTTTCCACACTAGGATAAATTGTCTCGTAATTCAAAATTATCCACGGCCGAAATTACTCTCGTTTAGAGGGTTGAGGGTGAGAGAGGGAGAGGAAGAGCGAGAGAGAAAGATGGAAGAGCGAGACAGAAAGACGGCAGAGACAGGGAGGGAGAGAGAGAGGGGGGAGGGAGAGTGAGAGAGAGAGAGAGAGAGAGAGAGAGAGAGAGAGAGAGAGAGAGAGAGAAGAGAGAGAGAGAGAGGAGAGATAGATATATAGAGGCATAGAGATAAATAATATTATGATAATTATCTAGTATAAACATATTTACAAAACCGAGATTTCGATAGGACGATAATAATATTGATAATAATTATAATAAAAAAATAATAATAGTAATAATAGTAATAATAATAATAATGTGAATGATAATAATAATAACTCTAAAAATGATACTGATAATAATAATGATGAGGAGGAGGATATTAATAAGAGTAATCATAATAATGCAAATAAAACAGTGATTATAACTACAACAAACCACTTCTTGA